CTAAGGGTACTTTCTGGAGCCATAACTCAATAACTTTGAATGTACCCTGCCCAGTGGATACAGGAGGAAGCTAATAGTTAAATAAACTCTGCCATGACCTGGTTGACTGGAGCTTTGACTGAGGGCCGTGGGGTGAGAGGCAGTGGGCAGGGGCCTGGCACTATCCCTGGTCCCACTGCGTGCTTGAACCACTGAATATCAGAGGGCCAGGACCTCAAGAAACTTCACCTGCACCAACCCCTTTGTTTAACAGATGGGGAAACTGAGGCCTCAAGAGGACAGTGAGCTGTCCTAGGCCTTACCAGGGACAAGATGGACCAGGGCAAACGTCAGCCTTCCCACACGGAGTAGCCCCATGGCCGAGTATGGGGAGGTGAGGGTTTCCTGAATTCCCGCACAGCCTCTTTTAGGTTTCAAAGTCCATCATCAGCTGAGCAGATAACTTGATTGCTGTCTCTCCTCAAATCAATGCAAAAGCCACTGATAAATGTTGGAGCCAACTTCTCATTAAAGAAGTCCTGGGTCCTCCAAAATAGGATTTCCACCGAATGGAGGCAGACGATGATAAAACGCTGGGCCCTGGGACCTAAGCTCCCGGCACAGGAGCCAGGCAGCAGGGGCTGTGCAGTCCCCAGGCCTTGCCCAGCAGGCTGGCCACCACTAAGTCGGGGTTAGGAAGAAACAGTGGCTGAGTCTTCATGAAGATGAGAGGCCACCAGACTGGTGTCATTGGCATGCAAGGGAGGAGGAGCATTGGCTTATTAGCTGGAAAATACGCAGATTGCCTGCCCCTCGACAGGGTCCCCTGCTTATAGCTTGTCAGGAGACAGCACTGTGGCTGGTGGGCAGGCACAAGGGGGCTGCAGCTCACTGGGGCTCACAGGGAGACCCCAAGGGGCAGGCCTGCTGCATTCTGTTCAGTTTTGCAGGTCTTTTCCTTTCCTTTTCAGGCTTCTGGGCAGGAGCTTGCAGCATCCCTCTGGAGGAAGGGGGCTGGTGTCTTCTCTCCATGGACAAGCAGTGCCCCCTCTTGCAAGCTGCTGCCCAGGAGTGGGGGTGGGGAGGAGGTCAGAGGACAGCTACTGAGGATGCAGACCCCTGCTTTGGGCAGAGAGCGCACAGTCCCCGAGCGGTGGGCTCAGTGGCCGTCACTCTCTCCATTTTACAGATAAGGAAACAGGTGCGGAGAAAGTGACTTGCCTGTGGGCTGATGGTGAGGGCAGAGCTGAGACTCAAATGAAGGTCTGACGCTGCACCCCATGCTTCCTAGTCCCTTCCACAACCTTCCCATGGCGGTGGCCTGACCCCCCAGGTGAACCAGCGCACTGGCATCCTCCCTTTGGAGGCAGAATGTTCTTCAGGGCTGAGGTCCCTCCCGCCTCCCTTGGGGGCGCCATGTCAGAGCCTCAGCTACCTCTGTAAAAGGGCGTCCTCCTTTCTTACCAAGCATTCACTGAACCCTACCGGGACCTGGCCGACCCAGGGCGCCCTGTCACCTGGCTGGGCGTGACCATGTCAGCTGCCACTCAGGGCGATGGTTCTGCCCAGAAGCCATAAGGACCTGCCTCATCCCTGGGTCCTTCAGGAGGCCCAGCCTTGGCCTGCCCCAGACCCTCCTTCCACAGCCCCCGAGCAGGATGGGCAGTTCCAGGCCAGAGATGCAAGGAGCCAACTGGCCTTGGGGGGGCTGGAGTTTGTGGCTGGTAGGAACTCGGGAGACACTACAGAAATGGACCCTCAGAGCTCAGGGGACAAGCCAGCTGACTCCATGGTCCCTCCAGCGGAGCCCTGAGGTGACGTGGCAGCCTGCCCCCAGCCCCGCTGCCCCACAAACCATTCCTGGCTCTGGGGTTGCCCTGCAGAGCTGCTCTCAGGAGGGGAAGGGGTGGCTGGGGAGGACGGACCAATCAGTGTCACCTCTTTGGGGATGCAGGGGCTTCACCTACCCGGACCTTCCAGCATGAGGATCCACACATTACCAGCCCTGTGCCAAGTGACTGCCCACTGAGAACCCACTCAAACTGGGTCAGTCCAGTGAGAGAGCTCATCATCTCACCTGACTCCCAAGCCCAGGCCTGCTGGATCCAGGTGCCACGAGGTCCCAGGCCAACCTGGGAGCAGGACAATGACTGCGCCCCCCCCCACTCTCATGGGAGAGCAGAGGGGGTGTGGCACCAGGTGGACATGAACACGGGATGGCCACACAGCTCACTAATGTGAGGCTGGGGGAGGGGTCGACGGGCCCAAGTCCTCAACATCTGCTGTGTGCCCGCCACCGGGCCTGGTGGCTTCAGCACACTGCCCTTCCTTCAAATCTGGTTACGAGCTGAGCTGGGCCCCTCCACAGGCCCAGGTCTTCCAGCTGGGCCATTCCTGCCCCTTGCAGGGCAGCCGTAGGCAGCCGGAAAGGGGCACAGAGGTGGGGATGCACGGGGACACTGGGTGTTCCTGGTGTCACCTCCTGCCCCAGGCAGTCAGCTGGTGTGACCATCCTCTTCCTCCTCTTTCCTCTCACAAGGTCTGACCCCTGTTCCTACTTGAGGGCATTTCCTTTTTGCCCTCTTTCTATGAGACTGTTTTAAACAGTCTGAGCCACACTGCAAGTCTAGTGTGGTCCTGAGGGCCTTTTTGCATTACAACCTAGCTACACATGAGGAAACTGCTCAGAATTAGCACGTTGTCTGTGTCCCACAGACAGTGCCCATGGCAGATGCAGGGGGGAGATGGCCTGGCTGGGGGCAGACCCAGTGGCAGGGCACAAGCCTGTGCCAAGGGCAGAGTCCTGTTTCAGTGCATCTCAGGGTGCAGGAGGGTGTGGCGAGTGTCCATCCCCCGCCATGGGGCCTGGCGGTGCAGGGAGCAGGTGGCCGGCACTGGGTGAGCTGAGTCAGACAGCAGATGCCCTGACAGCAGAGCCAGCTTGGGGCGGGTGCCCCGTTAGGGGCCTTGTCTGAGGGGGCAGGTGAGGGGCTGCCCAGGGCTAGAGGGCCCATCCAGGGCCACTCTGTGCCCTCCTCTGGGGAGGACACATGGGGGCCACTGTGCTTGGCAGAGCTTCTCCTGGCCTCTGCCCTTCCAGGCATGGGGGTCATGAACGGGGTCCTGGGCCTTGGCGCTGCCAGGCGACCTGGGGAGAAGTGGGCTCCCCTCCCCACAGCTCAGCCAGGGGTTAGCCAGGGGTCCCTGATCTGGAGGGCCAGGCATAGAGGACATGTGCTTCAGCCTGTTCCACGCATCACCCTCTCATGAATCAGGTGTTCACAGACCATTTGACAGAGGATCTGCTGCTAAAGAGAAAAACAAGTCCAAACCAAGTGTCCTGGGGCCTCATTCCCGGGGCAACCTCAGGACCCAGGGGATGTTCCAGGCAGAAGTTCTGGGGTCAGATTTTGTGGGCAAATGGTGGGTCACAGAAATTAAACAAGCCTGTCCTGAGACAGGCTGCAAACGTCCTGCCTCCCCTGACCTTGGTTAGCCAGGGGTCCCCGATCTGGAGGGCCAAGCACAGGGGACGTGTGCTCCAGAGCCCACTCGGGGCCGAGCTGCATCCCCATGGCCCAAGCAGCACAGGTCTGAGCTGAGCTACCCTCTGTGCACATGGAGGCCCAGCCTGTACCGCCCCCTAACTTACCCTGGGCAGGTGGCGCTCCAGTCTCCGGGCCACGGTGGGCACTCCATAGCGGCATGACCTGGGGCAAACTGCCATGTGCCCTTGCCTCTTGGTGTTGCTGAGGCCTGAGCTGATGCGCTCGAGGGCTCCATGAAAGGCGGGTTCCTTCCTGGCACGAGGGGTGTCTCTGATCTGCTGTCCTGGGGTCCCTGGCTCCTGGCACACACATGCACATACACACTGACCTGGGCGCTGGGTTGCCCAGATGGCACCTCTGGAGGGGCTCCCCTGTGACCACAGCCCTGGCCAGCCCTCCCCCCAGTTGCTCATGCAGCCCCCTGCATTTGAGCCTCTCGACAACACTGAGGTGTCTGCCTTCCCCGTTTTATGGACCTGACCTGGAAGCTCGGAGGGGACGGAAGGGCCCAGGCTAATGCTTCTGTGCCGCAGAGCGGGAAGCCTGCTGATGCGCCGGACCCAACAGAAACCACGCAGGCGGCTCCCAGTGGCTGGGTGTTGAACCAGGAAGCTTTATTTACACAGTAAAAGTAACAAGCAAATTCCTGAGACTAGAGCGGTTCTAGTGCAAGACGGTGGGGGCTTCGCGGGGCCGGGCCACGATGGGGGCCGGAGGGCCCAGCCTCTTGCAGGCACATGGTGCTCCCCACAGGGGCTGGGCCCCCACCACGCGCCCTGGCCGCCTCGCTTCCCGAAGCTCCGCCACGCCACAACGGACGGCTTGGGAAAGCACATGACAGCCCACGGCCGCCTGCGCGCGGTCCCCGAGCCCCCAGGACACCCCACCCCCACCCCGCGCACTTGAGACACCATTTACTTGCCATGGAGGCTACGCTAGAAGGTCCGACTACATCCTACCTAGGCTATGAGGTCTCTGCTGTGCTCTGGGGTTTCTGCCCTAATCGTTTTCTCTTCCGAGGCATGATTTTCTCTGGTGCTGAGAGGAGGGGTTTGACCGACCGCGGCTGTGGTGAGATGCGGTACCAGTGCCCACACAGGCTGCAGTGCCCCTGCACTGCTCCAGCCGTGCTGCACCCTGGCGCTTCTGCCCATGCCCAGGCGGCTGCCCAAAGTGATACCTTTTAGGTGACTGGCCCCAAGGCCACAGAGCGCATGACTTTGACCTTGCCAGCGGACACGGGCACAGCGCACACCGACGCCCGCCCGTGCCGGTGGCAGAGCAGACGGGTGCCTAAAACTCCACGCAAACCTGCTCGGGCGGCACCCAGCACGCCCCCTTGGCAGTGTCGGCCAGAGCCGGAAGCCACACCCGCCCCTGTCCTGGGGGACCCATTTGGAGGTTGGAGTTTTTCTTTTTAACGTGGACTTTACCTTTATTTAAATTTTCTTTCAGCATACAAATACACAAAACTTTCCTGCTACAAAGATTTTATTGAAAAGTAAGGCTTTCTGAGAATGAAAATCTGCGTGTATGACCAGAACAGCTCCGGTGGGCTCGATGTCATGCCGCCTCTGGGCCCCGGCCCCCACCACGGGTGAGGCAGGAGCGGCCGCTGCCATGGCCCCGCGCGGCCCACCAGGCGCACAGCCGCCCCTGCTGGTCCTGCGGCTTCGCACGCGCTCCTTCGGGAGCGGGCGGGGGTGCACATGACAGCCGGCCTCCCCTCCCCACCCGGCCCTCCGGGAGCCGTGACTGCCCTCGCCCCTTGGGGCCCCCGGGTGGCCTGGCACAGCCCTCGCTCCTGGCTCTTAACTCCCTCACTCTCCCCTCGGAGGCAGGAGTTCATGGGCACTGGCTGCAAGAAATGGGGCCGGGGCAAAAGGGCGGCTCCTGGAGGGCGAGCTCCCAGTGCACTGCCACCCGGGGGACAGCCACACAGGGTCAGAGGGACCCCCTGGGCGAATCTCCCAGCAAGACCGTTGGTCCTGGTGCCATGGTGGAGCGTGCCCTCTTCGGGCAGAATGGCAGTTCCTTTTAAATGGGGTCTGCTCGCTGCATTAACAAGACAAACATGAAGCCAACTGAGGGCCACTTCTTTCTCTGACCAGAAGGGACACTGGCCATTCTCTCCCCTCACTGCTGCTATTGTGGGCTTGGGCTAGGCGCTTTGGTGGGGGTGGGGACAGCCAGGAGGGTTCTGGGGAAGCCAGAAAGGGCCTGGGGGTGGGCTTGCTGGTGATAGCATCAGCTTGGGTGCGGGTGGTGGACAGGCCATCTCGCGAGCTCCACGGCTTGTCCTTCCCTGCCACCTGGCCTGAGAAGGGAGGTAGCAGGCAGGGTCCAAGGACAGGTCACCTGCACCATAGCACTCAACCCTCCATCCCTCCCTGCAACGTACACCAGGAGGTGGGGCACTGCCTCGCCTTCCACAGGAAGGACTGCTTTGGAGGCCATGCTCCCTCTGTGGTCAGCTTGACCGGTAACAGGGGCCCGTGCCTTCCATCCCAGGCTGGGGACGTGAGGCACCCACGTGCTCTCTGAATTCATATGTCAGCAATACCCACCCCAGCCGTCTCAGATCTACTCTAAGGAAATGTGGCCTCCACAACCTACTGAGTGGAGATCGGGCGAAGAGGTCATCATCTACCCAGAGCAGCCAGCTCTCTGATTCGGCTCTCTGGGGTCCTGGGGGACGTGCCTTTGGTGGGAGCCACTGAGGCTAGCCGGCCCCCACCCCAGAGCTGCCCAGGGCCCTGTACAACAACCATGATACTCTAGCTTGGGCTGTGAACACAGCCTCCAAGGGCCACCACGTTGGATTTTCTGCAAGCATCTGATGGCTGATTTTTAAGAAAAGCAACCTATAAATCAGAACTTAAGCCACCACACTTTTGAGCTAGTAAAAAAAGCGGAGATTTAAGTCAAGTTTCCCAAATAGGGTCTTTCCTAAGGAGAAAGGTGAGAACCATTTGTGTTCAACCTCCATCCAGAGCGGATGCACAAGAGCAAAGCGACTACCCAGGTGCTCTTAGCACGAGTCAGCGAACCCAGAACACCCCAGTTACTTTTAGCTTTATGGGAAAAGCAGCCACTTGCTTTCAAAACAGCCCAATTGCTCTTGTCTGCAGAAGATGGCAAGTTTGCTAAAAGCCAGATTCCACGAGAGCGCGCCCACGTGGTGTGTCTGCAAGCCGGCTAGACGGGAGCTGCCTGAGGGCAAGACCTCAGGCGCCAGGCGCTCCTCGGTGTCGGGGATCTGCTGGGGTGTGAGGATCCTGGGAGAGCGCATGTGTGCAGCGAGCTCTGGGCCTGGGGGGGCCTGCAGCAGGGAACAGCACTTAGAATGCTCTGCTTCCTGCAGCTGACCAGCGGGTGGGCTTGACCCGAGGGGGACGATGCACCTTGATTAAAGCCAGCAGCCCCCAGTAACCAAGATAGCATGCTTAGAATACTGCAGGGGGCCTTGCAGGCCCCCCAGAGTGGCCAGCAGACATCTTCCACCCCAAAATGTGCACAGGGCCTGGGTTTGTGCACCTGCTCACAGCTTCTGCCTCCTGAGGACATTTTACAGAAGGCGCCCTTTCATGTTGACATCTTTCTACTCACCTGAATCAACTACGCTAAGCACTCAGTGACAGGTTAGCCATAGAGAATGGCTGCCACATGCCACCCATGCTGAGGTGGCCTCCAGAGTGGCAGAGAGCCATGGGCTCAGACCTCCACACCACAGGAGTGGCAAGTGGCTCTGTCTTTTTGGCCAGTAGGGCTACCAAATGTCTACCCAATGCAGACAGACTCTAACGAGCACCCCAAGCTGTTCCCTGGGCCCCGAAAGTTCAGATGTGGAGGGCCACCCAGCACCCCAGGGCCTCTGTCTCCCACACTTGGAATTAAGGCCAAATGGTTCTGGTGTTAGTACAGAAGGAAGCATCTCCCGAACCTTCCCAAGCCTGAAGCAGGGAGACCTGGGAGAGAAGGCACGGAATAAAAGTGAGGGACAGAAGCTGGGGGGCCAGCTCTCCAGAACTGAACCTGAGCAGGAGGCCGGGAAGGGCCCTGACACCACCAGACGGACCCGAGCCCAGGCCCCCGACAAGCCCGCTGGGTCGGAAACCTCAGCTGGGAGTCGGCGTGCAGAGCGGACCCCACCGGGAGTGCCAGGAGGCTGCCCGGGGGTGGCTGGGATGCCTGCAGCCGATGCCCCACGAGGGAAAGGGGGAAGACAGCCAGACCAAAAGCTGCTCGATGGGCTCCAGCAGTTCTGTGGACTGTGGCCGCCGTGCTGGTGAAAGGCTGAGGCGTCCCACTGGCTGGTGCGGCCAGGATCCCCCCAAGGTTGGACAGCCTCTCCGGGAGGTGGCTGGGCTCGCTCCCTGGGACTCAGTGCCCTCAGGAAGCTTTTATCAGGCCCAGGAGTGGGGCTCCCTCTCCAAGGGCCCACCTGGTGCCCAGACAGAGGCCACTGACTCTAATGTACCCCACCCTGACCGAGGGCCCACAGCCCCTCAGTTGTTCTCTATCTGTTCAATGTCCAGCTCGCCATCCAGGGAGCAGGGGCTGTTCCTGGCAGCCCTGCGGTCCCGCCAGGCCGGGGCTGGCTCCCCTCTCCAGCCACAGCTCTCCTCTGGGGCACAGCTGTCAGACTCCTCACAGCACGGCTCCTCTGTGCAGGGCGGGCGGTCATCGAAGGACGGGGGGAGCGGCTCAGGGACAGGGGTCCCGGCAGGGGTCCTGCCCCCAGTGCCAGAGGCCGAGAGCAAGGCAGTCCAGGACCTGGTGCTGCTGACGTGGAGGGCGAAGGGGCTGTGGGGGCCGCAGTCCTCCATCCCCGTGCTCAGGCAGCTGAGACTGCTGAAGGTCTGACAATTCTGTGGGGAGACGGACACACAGGTCACTAGGGGTCACGCTTCCTTCCCAGAACCCAAAGATTGCACACCCACAAAGCGAGGCCGAAGCCCCCAGGGTGTCTGGCGACGGGTCCCCCAGATGGTGGAAGACCATCAAATCCTGGATTCCTCCCCCATCAGGACAAGGAAGAGGGGCTGTTTGCTCGCACTTGATAATACCCAATGCTGGGAGGCTGCAGTGAGAAGGGTTGGCTCAGACCCCTTCAGCACAGCCTTCATCGGGCAACGTCACTTCTAGGATCTCTGGATTCAGAAAACAACTTAGGATGCATGCAAACATTCAGTGACATGAATATTCCTCAACACACTGTTAAGCTGAAGAGAGTAACCTATTCCCCTGATAATGGTCCCAGGGAGAATGTCTGCTCAGGAGGGAAGCCCCTGCAGCTGTTACAAGAGACCTCTGCAGGGGTGAACCTACCGACGCGGATGGAAACTGCTGCACAAAGGGGGCGTGATGCCCTCTCCCCACTCACCAGAGTGGGAGATGGGGCCAGGAGGGTTGAGCTGATGTCCCAACCTGGTGCACATCACAACCGTCCAGAGAGCTGGTTTCCACAAGAGCTCTAAGCCCTGCCTGGAGATGCTGATGCTCGGGACGGAGCTGGGCCCCCGGGACCTCAACAGGCACTCGGGAGGTGGATGCCACAGTTCTGCTGAAGGAAAGGCCAGGCACACCCACCAGAGGCCCCACGCAGACCCCTCAGCGCCCCTAGGCCTCAGATGCCTCATCTGTAAGAGGCGAGCCATGGTCCCTGCGTTCCCAGTTAAAGAGCGTGGCTGTCAAGAGCTCTCTATCCGCCAAGCGCTGCCTCTGGGGAGCCTGCCCGAGTGGCAAGTGCAGCGTGAACATGACCCAAGGATGCAGTTAAAACACCTGCTTCATGTAGAGCCCCAGGGAATCAGGACAGAGGGCTGTGACAGCTGGGGTGCCCATGCCAGCCCAAGACCCCCAAAAGTACCCAGCAGTCCCTTCCAGAGGGGACACAACAGAAGAGATGTGCAGGGAGAGGACTTAGGCTTTGGTCTCTTCCCTGCACACTAGGGTCAGGAGAGCAGAGGCAGGGATGGGAAGACCACATGCAGGCTGATGCCAAGATCACAGGCCTGACCCGAGGGCCCTGGTCCCTTCACAGGCTACAGCGTTTATATATCACCTTGAAATAAACATGACCACCGGCTGTCACCATGAACAAGCTGCTGAAACAGGTTCAGCAAACGGAAAATAAAAGGCACTCTCTCTGGACGGAGGTGGCTGTGCCTGCCGTGCACACGCTCATTGTTCCTGAAGCCCCAGAGGAACCTGTTCTGATGGGTTTGCTTTTCTTGGAATCTTTTGATTAACCGAGGAAGGTGAAGGCTGCAGCGCTGGGGGCTCTGGGAAGGCACGCTGGGCCTGAGGAGAGAAGGGCCCACCACAGTGAGACCTGACATGCGGATGCGCAGGCCACAGCCTCATTAGCCTGGGGACCCCTCGGCCCCTGCCTGGGCCCCAGTCTGCATGGTGCACTTTCCCTTACCCACCTCAGCCTATGTCCCTGGCAGAGCAGGCCCAGGAGTGAGGCCAGTGAGCACTGCGGGGCTCAGGAGCCCGGGGCACCAGATCCTGCCCCATCCTGGCTGAGCAGTCTTTGCCACAGAAGTCACAGTACGTAAGAATGCTCTGGGATGGCAAGGGGACCCCTGTCATAAGTAGCGGCTGGTGTAAGCTGGATGCGCTGCAGACGGGTCCAGGTTGTGCCCAGACACTGGTGCCCTCAAGCCCCCAGGGAGCAGCACGTCCATTTGGCCTAGCATACTGAACACCAGAGCAGGTGGCACTGTCTCCAGTGAGCTGCAACATGAAAATGGTGGAAAGCGTTGCTGCAAACTTGAGCAAAACACTTCCCAAGTCTGCATTTGTCCTTCTGTGCCCCGATTATCCTGCCTGAGCTCGTGGGCTAAACTCCCTGAGGGGCACGGGCAGGTGGGTGGGGAACTCTTGTGCTCGACTTCATGGCACGTGTTCATGTGTGTTTTAAGTACTACCCACATTAAACATTGGCTCGCCAGCAGCAGGGGCTGGGAACCCGTTCGCTGGGGCCTTTCAGAGATGCCTCAGGTGTTCCCCAGCAGGGCTGAGACAGGTTAGGGAGCCGGGCTCCGGGCTCGGCTGGTCAGAACAACAGCCCCCTCTCTGCTCTGCCGCAGGGCGAGAAACTGCCCAATTCGGGGGTGAATGTCATCACCAGCACACCCCTGGAAGCCCTGACTCCACCTTCCAATAGTCCTCAGAGACACCTGCTCATTGGCAGCAAGGCCAGTGTCACCTTGAAAACTTTGTTGACTCAAAACTCACCATTTCAGCCACAGAGAAACCCAAGCCCCGCCCAATGAATGGCCCAGCTGATGGCACGCCCTACCTGCAGGGCAGGAATGTGTCTGCCACAATGGGGCAGTGTGTGTCCTGCCCAGACTCCATCCCCAGGTGAGCCCACCCTGTGCCAACATCCACTGGCGCACCCACGCCCAGACCCTGTGGTTGCCTTGTGCCCACCATGCCCTGGGGCAGGGTCCAGCCCAGCTTCTCCTGGCAGCTCATGCTCTGCAGAAACCCAGCTCCCACAAGAACACTGCATGGGCCTGTTGGAGGCCCGGAGGCAGTGTGCCCTCAAAAATGTCTGGGGAAAGCTGCAAAGCTGCTAACAAGTTCAAAGCACCACGTGAACACATCATTACAGGGTAGAGTAGTTGCTCTGGGACAAACGGTCTCCACCCCAAACTTTGTTCTCTTGAGCCCAGCCCTGGCCCAGGGATCAACTGCCTGCTTGGGCACAGGCCTGCCCAGTAACACATAGCTCAAAAGGACCATCCCTATAGTCTCAGGCTAGTGGCTGGAGACATCAGTCAGTACCTAGTCCTAATCAGGGGTGTCTGGGGCAACTTGACAAGGGAGCCCCTCAAAGTCAAGTTGCTTCCATCAGACCTGCCAGACCTCAGCTCTGGGCAGCCACATCTCAGCCCACCCCAGCCAGTCTCCCCAGGGCTTCCCACCAGGAGCAATGTCCCCTCTCTGGCTCAGCTTTTCTGGGCAGACATCTGCTTCTACGCCCTCACTCACTCTGGGTAGGAGGCCCCTGGCCGAGCCCTGGAGACCGAGGTGAGGTCCCCACCTTCCAGGGCTCACCCCTGCAGAACTCCACATGGCCCTCCTTGCAGACAGAGACCCATGAGACCCGGGCGGTAACAGCATCCTGAGAGCCAGGCCCAGCCCCCGTCTCCACGCCTGGCCCCACGTGCCCATGCTGGGAGGAATCCAGAGGGCAGAGCTGAGGGCACCTCTGCCAGGAGCTGTGAGCTGAAAACCAGGCCCCCTTGGGAAACACATTCACTCAGCAGACCCTCAGCCCCATCTTGCTGTGTGCATCAACTGCCACATACCCTGTAAGCCTGTGGCCCACGAGCTCACTCCTCCCCAAGAGCTACCGTGCCCCATGCCAGCCTGGGTGCGGGGCTCCAGAATGATCTCCCCAGCCCAACTGCACCACACGCTTTATCAGGAATGACCCAGAGAGTGCGGCCTGGTGGGGCAGGAGGCCCCACATGAAGGGCTCGGGGGCATCCTGGGAACAAGGGCAAGAACAGGCCGCGGCAGGGCCCTGTTGGAGAGCAGGCAGCCATCCCCTCCTCCCGCCCCCTCACCCACAGGAGGACAGGCTGTCTCCCTCACTCCCGTCTTCCCGGGCCCTGACATGCCCGAACCCAGAAGACCACAGGAGTGCCATGTGGCCCAGTGGAGGTGCTCAGGGAGGTGGATCCCAGAGTTGGAGGAACTGGGCCTACGTCTGGCTCCTCCAACTGCTGTCCTTCCAGGGCAGTTAGCTGGTTCTGGCCAGAGGCTGACCGTCTGTCCCGTGAGGATCCCCGCTATCAGCACCAGGCTGCCTCACATTTGCTGGGGAGTGGTGGTGGCCGGGACACCTCTCCTGGGTTAGTCCGTGTCCTAAGTGTAGTGCCCACGTGAAACTTCCTCTCAGCATCATACTGGGAAAAAACACGTCTCCCCAAGGCACGTGTGTGCTTCCCCTTTTCAGACAAGAAGCGTGACGCAGTCCCCTCCACCCTTATACTTCCCTTTTCTGGCACTCCTCTTCAAGGCAGGAACTTTTCCTTTTCCTCTTTTTAATGCTATCTGCCTCTTCCCAATCCGATTTTACAGATCTCTTTGTGTTACAGATTTTTAGGGAGCCACCTCAAATCCCTCCAGAAAGAGGGGCATAAATAAGCCCAGCCAGCAAATTAGGATGACCACACCAGGCATCCAGCCTGGCCCGACTTCCCCAGAGACTCCAGCTACTCTGTTGGAAGCTGCTGGGACTAGGGATCTGGCTAAGCAGAGGCATTTCCTCCCCAAACACGTACTTTCACAGGAACAGAATTCTCCAAGTATCGAGAAAACACCCGGCCATGAGAAGGGCTGGCGGCCTGGAAATTTTCTAAGTCTCGTTTATACTGGAAGCTGGCATGGAAACAACCAGGGCGCAGAGCATGGGGTTTCCTGGGGTGGTTTTTTTTTTTAACTATCACAGAAAAGAGAAAAAAAAGCAGCAGCATACTTTGGGCCTATCTTTAATGCATCTTTGGTCAATCTGAACTTTGCATGAGGTCCAGACTCTCTCACAGGAAGCCCTGGGGCCTGGGGTCAGGTGGTGGGGCTGCTTCCTCACAGAGGCCCTGGGTCAGAGCTGTGGGCCGGCCTGGTGTCAGGTAGCTGCTGGAGATGCCAAGTGCAGTGGGCGCAGGCCAGGCCCTCACTGGGGCGGCTGCACAGGTCCTGCAAAGGCCAGCCCTTCACTCTGGGAATAGACATCGCACTCCTAGACAGCCCAGCTCCACTTCCTGGAGGGGCAGGGCCGCTGCTCACCCAGGCCTGTGTGGAGGCCCAGCCTATTTCTGTGAAATGCTTACCCTCGGAGCCCACA